ACGTTCTAAGAGCCTATATCTGTAAGTTTGTTGTTGTGTATTTTGATGATATTCTAGTATACAGCACTAGCTTGGATGAACACCTTAATCATCTTGAGAAAGTCTTAGAAACTTTAAGGCTATAATATTTATATGATAATCTCAAGAAATGTGTTTTCTGCACTGATCAATTGGTATTTTTAGGCTTTGTTGTTAGTTCACAGGGTCTAAAGGTGGATGAAGAAAAAAATCAAAGCCATACAAGACTGGCCCACGCCAACCACCATTGGTCATGTTCAGAGTTTTCACGGCCTAGCAAGCTTTTACCAGCGTTTTGTTAAAGATTTCAGTACCATTGCTACCCCTTTAACTGCAGTAATCAAGAAGAATATTGCTTTCACTTGGGGGCCAAAACAGGAAGAAGCTTTTCAGAAGCTCAAAGATAGCCTTACCCATGCACCTGTCTTAGTTTTACCTAACTTTGACAAAACTTTTGAAGTTGAATGTGATGCTTCAGGTACGGGTATTGGAGCTGTCCTGACTCAAGGAGGGAAACCAGTTGCCTTCTTCAGCGAGAAACTGAATGGAGCTGCACTCAACTACCCCACCTATGACAAGGAGCTCTAGGCCCTAGTAAGGTCTTTGGAGACATGGCAGCACTACCTTCTTTCCAAGGAGTTATCAATACCGACCATAAAATGCTCAAATACCTAAGGGGCCAGACCACACTGAAGAAACGACATGCAAAATGGCTCGATTTTGTGGAGACCTTCCCCTATGTGATCAAGTACAAGAAGGACAAGGAGAATATTGTAGCTGATGCTTTATCCCGGAGGCATGCTCTGATTTCCACCATGGAGGCTAAGATCATGGGTTTTGAGCATCTTAAGGAGTTATATGACAACGATCCAGACTTTGGAGAGCTTTGCCAGTAGTGTACAAAAGGTGGTATTGGTCCTCACTATAAACATGATGGTTTTCTTTTCAGGGACAAAAGATTATGCATTCCGCAGAGTTCAATGCGAGAGTTGATTCTTAGGGAGGCCCATGGAGGCGGACTTATGGGACACTTTGGAGTGCAAAAGACCAAATGCATTGTTGATGAGCACTTCTACTGGCCGCATCTGAAAAGAGATGTGGAACAATTCTGCTCAAAATGCATCATTTGCCTAAAGGCAAAATCCAGGTTGCACCCTCATCGACTTTATATTCCCTTACCAATTCCTAACCTACCTTGGGTAGATGTGTCTATAGATTTTGTTTTCAGATTGCCTAAGCTAAGAGACAAGGACTCCATATTTGTGGTAGTAGACCGGTTCTCCAAGATGGCACATTTCATTCTTTGCAACAAAACCAACGATGCAACCCAGATTGCTGATCTGTTTTTCAAGGAGATTGTCAGAATTCACGGATTGCCAAGGACTATCATCTCAGACCGGGACACCAAGTTTCTAAGCCACTTCTGGAAGACTTTGTGGAGAAAGCTTGGGACTAAGCCTCTCTTTTCTACCACTTGCCACCCCCAAACGGATGGACAGACTGAAGTCATGAACCGCACACTATCCACCCTCTTTAGGGCCACAGTCGGTAACAACTTACGAAATTGGCTTGAGTGACTTCCTTTCATTGAATTTGCTTATAACCGCACACCACACTCTACTACTAAATTCTCCCCTTTTGAGCTGTGTACGGTTTTAAGCCTAGCACTCCTTTGGATTTCTTGCCACTACCACATAAGGAACAAATCAGCCAAGAAGGTGAAGCCAAGGCCGAGTTTGTTAAGAAGCTACACCAAAAGGCCAAGGAGCACATGGGGAGGAGAAACGAGCAGACCACAAAACGTGTGAACAAGGGTCGTAAGGAAGTCAGCTTTGCACCAGGAGATTGGGTCTGGTTACACATGAGAACCAAAAGGTTTCCACACCAAAGGAAGTCCAAGCTAGCACCCAGAGGAGACAGACCATTCAAAGTGGTTAAAAAGATCAATGACAACGCCTACCAGATTGATCTTCCAGGTGAGTTTAACATTTCCACAACCTTTAATGTATCTGACTTATCTCCTTATGATGCAGATGAAACAGTTCTGAGGACAGAACCTTTACAAGAGGGAGAGGATGATGTGATCCCAAGTACCAACATTCTGCCAACCACCCTTGTTCCAGCTATGAACGTCCCACTCTTGACTAGAGCAGGAGCTAAGAGTCTAAGGGAGAACTTCAACCAAGCTGTAGAGACATTACTTGCAGATCGGGAGGTTCGAGACATAACCGAGCAACTGACGAAGTTGACCATTTCCCAAGATCAAGGTTAAACCGAAGTGCAAGCCAAACCATATCAAGAAGAGGGTCATCTCATGAAGGACGGTCCAAGAAGCTACATAGAAAAATAGCCACTTATCAAGTATGGGCCTGAAGTCTCCTTATTAACCATTCTCCCAACCTAAAGGCGTCTAGGTTCATCCCCTCCAGCAAGTCAAACAAATCCCTACAAATCAGTTCAAAGGTAAGACTGAATTCATTATAGTGTTTAACTAACTTTCTTTGTTTTGTCTTGATTTCCTTTGCATTTATTCTTAATTTTCAATTTCCATTAGATAAGGCAATTGTTAGCCATTTTTAATCCCTTTAATTTAGCTGCATTTATTGTAATTTGCTTCAAAGACCCCTAGAAGGGCATAACTGTTTGGACTCTATATAAAGCCCCCTCACAGCCTTTTATTTTTCACACAATCAATAAAGATCAAGCATTTTCTTAAGAGTTCTCTCTTCTTCAGTTTTTCTAGGCATTTGTGATTTCTGTCCAGTTTAACTTTGTCTCATCATTGCCTCCTTCCATCAGGCTTTGTGGCGACCATCGATCCACCTTCTACTCATCATCATCCGACCAGACTTCTAAAGGAGTAACTTTAGTCCCTTGAACAGGCGCCATCTTTCCACTTCAATCATCCTCCATCCGACTGGTTGAAAGATAGTGACTTTAGTCTAGCTTTCAGCCTCCATCATCCACCAAAACGAGCCTCAACCTTTGAGGATCGTATCACTCTCTCCTCTCGCCTTCTCTCTCTACGACTCGTGCCTCACCTCTCACTGCTCCTCATGTTTCTCTCTTCTTTCCCTAATTCCACCGCAGTCTCCGTCTGCTCTCTACTGCTCCACCGCTTGCTCCCTCACTGGTTTTTCCATCCTTTCCAAAATCCCTCCACACAATTCCCCTATTCTTCCCTTTGACATCCGTGCCGCCCTCCGTCTCTTCAATTCCATCTCCTTCTCTGCCGTCGTCATTGCCTCCTTACCGCACAGATTAGATGTGTTTCCTGTAAAAAAAAACAACCACAATGACCATTTTTGTGGACTAGCAATATGGACACACTACTGTGGACAATGTGTAGTGTTTCACAAGCAACCACAATGACCATTTTTGTGGACTAGCAGTGTGGACACACTACTGTAGACAACGTGTAGACACACTAAGTGGATAACGTGAGGTGGATACGGTATGATGGACAAGTAGAACTAAAGCATTCGATCAATGTAAAGAGATGAATTGCGTGGACAACATGTGGACACACGATAGAGGACCACATGCGGTGGATATGGTATGATGGACAAGTAGAACTAAAGCATATGATCAATGTAAAGAGATAAGTTGTATGGACAACATGTAAACACATTATAATGGACAAGGTGCAGTGGATACCGGATGACGGACAAGTAGAAATAAAGCATACGATCAATGTAAGGAGATAAGTTGTATCGATAAAAAGATATGTGGATGATGTGATCTGAAATGAGAAGAAATAAGTTAGAATAGCTGAATAGACAAGGCATTGTGGATGATGTGATCTGAATTGTATATGATCAATAATCTGATACTTCAGTTTCAAAGGCCATCATTATCTTAATCATATGTATATCAATATATGCAGCTGTAACATAGATGCGTTTGTGATGTACTAATCTTTTATATTCATGGAATCATCGAATCTTTGGACACAAGTTCGAGTTCTCAACCAATCCACATGTAGTTGTCCATAAACATATATCCATCATTGACTGTCCATTACCCCCTTGTCCATCCCCATTGTGCCCGATGAGTACAGCAAAGCCGTCGTGTCGTCCTGGTCGATTCAGTGTTTCACTTGTGAGTCACTCGGTTTCGTCTCCATCATTACCTCTAAGTTCCTACTTTTCTTCACGCATTGATCATGAGTTTGTACTCTATTGGATGTCACGCGGTTTTCATCACATGACAACCACCAGGAGATTCAAATTCGATGCGGCGGTGAGTTAGAAGATGAGTTAGCGGGTGGTAAAGGCAAGAATAGGACATGAATCGCCAATCTGATTGGAGATTTCTCTGGATGTGTTAATAGGATTGGTTATGGTGATGACGGCGCCAAGTGACATAAGAGAGGGAGACGATGGGGAAGATGATAGAGTTGAGAAAGAGTTAATTAAATCACATAAGTGATATCGTCTTATTATCTCATTAAAATCCAACTATCTCTCAAAGTATCTTTGATTGTAATTATAAAATCTAAAAGTGCCTTCCAACGTAATATTCTCCTCAATTGTCTTGCTAACCTCTTAAAATGAGCTATAGAAAATTCGTGAAAAACCTCATATAATCTTCAGTTTTACCAGAGACCATTTATTGGTTTAGTGGTTTGTTTTTTTGGTCCACATCATATTCTGCAAAACTAACAAAACTAGCTTGTTTACTTATCTACAACTACAAGTTATTTAAGTATAAATCAAACAATCGTAGAGTTAGAATATTTTCTCTAATCAACTCAATCAAAATATTTCTATTTAATAAAGTTTGATTCAACAAAATTTGATGATACAGTTAAACAACTTGCATTTTTCCGGGTCTAAGTTTTGGGTCTCTCCGAAGCCCAACCCACAAACTTCAGCCCATTTAAGCGGTCTTTGGATTTCTTGAACTAAACCGGTTTAATTCGATTTATGACCTTAACCTTAGTCAAACCTCAAACCAAAATTTATTGCAAAGAAGAACTTTCCGGGCAAGTAATAATAATAGATTAACTTGTTGGTATAAAAAATCTGGTAAAATACCAAAGGGTAAATACGTAACTGAAACCCCAAAACCAAAACTAACGAGAGAGAAAAAGAAAAAAAAAAAAAAAAAAACTGAAATTCAACCATTCGTCAAGGTTTAGTTCTCCTCCACGCGATCGATTCTCCGATTCCGAATCCAAGTCTCCGTCGGAAATCTACCCGGCGATTCGATTTAGCGAAGTCTCTGCTTCGATTTTCCATCTGATCGATGAACTTATCAAAGCGTCTGGCTCTGTTAGGAGCTCAATCCGCGTTTTCCATAGCTAAACCTCGAGGTTTCGGCTCCTCTTACGGCGGCTTCACTGATCGTCGTCCGTTCCAGTACCGCCAAATCTCGGAGCTTGTTAAAGGCAATGGCAAGCGTGCTTTTCTCGTCGATACATTGGCTCTGGTACTATTATCTCTAATTTATCATCTCTATGTAGCAGATCTAGAAGTAGGCCATGGATTTTTAGCATCTAATTAGTTTCGGAACCTCTTCAATGCTAGTTAAATCCGCAGTTTTTTTTCTTTCTTTTCTCGCGATTTTAAAGTTGCTCTTAGAAAAAGCAACGAATCTTTATTTTATTTTTTTAATTTTATGTTGAAGATTGTGTTTATGTGAAAGGTGAGGAGTCTTGAAGCTCAAGGTGTTCCATCTAAACAAGCCGAGGCGATTACTTCTGCCATCACCGAGGTGTTGAATGATAGCTTGGAAAATGTCTCTGAGTCTTTTGTTTCAAAGGCAGAGATGCAGAAGGTGATTGCTTCACTTACCGTTTTCCTTAATTTGTGTGTGCTTTTGCAATGTGGGAAATGACTTTGGAAATGGAACTTTTGCAGTGTAAAACTCACTTTTTCTTGCTTGTGTTCTGTGGCTGCAGATTGAAATGCTTCAAGATTCAAATCTGTCAAAATTTAAATCTGAAGTAAAAAGTTCCCAGGTAACATTTACATGTTCTAATTTATCATTACCTGTGCTTCAGAAACCTTGAAGATATGTAGAGCTGCTTTGTGGTTTATGTTCAAACTTGTTGATTTTCTTAATGAAATTTTCACTTGTGGCTGTGTTCTATGATCTCAAACACTTGTCTCAGTTACATTGTTGTCATACATATCTCTTGGTGTGTGGTATTGAGTGTTATACCCATTTTGGTATTGCCTGATTGCTAATTAGTTTGAAAAGTTGTGTTACTTTGCAAGTAGAAGATCTCAAGTAAGTGTTTTAGGTGATATTGTGGATGAGCTATAAAAACGCATGCCTCTTCTTAGCAGTTCAGTTATATATGTCGACGACCTGATTAAGTCTTTTTTTTTTAAACTTCACTTGTAAGTGTCTCTGTTGCAATTGTTTATTAGTTGGAGTCCTGAACACTTGTAGCTAGAAAATTCCAGTAAAATGTGTTGCTTGCTTACTATCTTACTCTGCTTTTTCATATCACGTTATGTTAAATCATGTATCATCAGCATCCACAATAGCATCGTATACAGTTTCTTTTATAAACAAACCCGTTTATGATTGCAAATTTTCTCGTCATTCTTTTTTGAAGGAGCATCATTTTACGGTTTTGCAACGCGAAACAGAAAAATTACGAGGTGACATAGACAAGATGCGAAGCGAGCTTAGGTTTGTGACCAGCTTTTTTTAATTTTATTTGGATTCATCTTGTGATTTATTTCAACCGAACCTAAACCAAAGGACCTCTCATCTTGAAATAGGTATGAAATTGATAAGGTCACAGCTGGACAACGCTTGGATTTGAATCTTGAAAGAGGGTATGAGAAAGAAAATCCACATTTCGCATTTTCCATAAATTCTATCTGCTAGTATTGATCTTGCTTTTATTTGATTATATCTGGTTAATTACAGTCGAATACGTGATGAGCTAGCTAATCAAAACTCTGAAACAACAAACCTCACAAACAAGCTTGACAGGGTATGGTATAACTTGTTTCCTTTAGGATTTACATATTAATTATAAATCCCTAATCCATCGTCTCATTTAGAAGTTGTTATCATATACAATATGTTTTTGGCGTGTTGTAGGAAATTCATGCACTGAGAGCTCAATTAGAAGCTTCAAAATACGAGGTGATCAAATACTGCATAGGTACACTTGTCTCGATTTCAGCAGTTGGCCTTGCTCTTCTTCGCATCTTGGTATAGTAGAAACCAACAGCACCTTTTATGATTTTAGACTAAATTGGTGTAACTTCTCATTTTTTACTTGAAATCCAAGATGTCATATTCTTTTTTTTCTCCATTTTCTGGCTATGATCAAGATCAACCAAGGATCGTTGGTTTCTATTTTTAATTTTTAACTGCTGGATGATATGTCAGAAAAAGTTTCAAGAAAAACTTATCCAAGTCTATTTTCTCGTGGATAAATCAATTAAAATCACTTAATGCAAATAAATGGATTGCAAACGTTGGAGTTGATTATCCCTAAGAATCAATTAAGCCTTGCTCATCGAATTATTTAGAATACTGTAACACTTATGCTCAAATATTCCTTAGAGTCTGTCCAAACTGGAAAATATTAATACAGTAAAACTTCTATAAATCAGTATTAAATTTTATTGGTTTTAAATCAAATCAATAGAAAAATTAGTAAGTTTTGATAAAATAGTAAAATAATATTTTTTCCAAACTTCTATGTAAAAATATAGTTTTAATAATAATATAAATTAATTATACATTTAAGTATATATGAATAATGTAATATAGTAAAATATGATATATGATTGTTTCAAGTTTATAATATTTTTTGATTTACCTTCCAAATTTATTGTTATTACATTTTAGAATGAATTTTACAATGTTGAAAATAATTTTTTTTTTAACATTAAAAGTTTGAAACGAAAATGTGAAAGAGACAAAAACATATAAGAGTTTAACAATTCTAAACATATAAGATTTTAACATTTCTAAACAGTTTTTGTCAATTTAGCATCCCTAAAACATCTTATTCAAACTACATCACCAACTGTTTCTATTTTAAAAAGATTTTTTTTGTTACTTACTCACTTTTTTAACTATTACAAGATGTCGTCAACATATGGTACAATAATTTAGATAAACTACATATGGTACTCTATTTTAAAAAGTTTTATAGAAGTTTTATAGAAATTTAGATAATCTATGTAATTCATCCATATGTAGTTTATCTAAATTCCTATAAAACTTCCAACATAGATTTATATATATAAACATGTTTTATAATTTATGATTAAAATATAAAAAACTAATAAAAGATGTCTTAGTTAAAATAATAATTAACAAAAAGATGCCGTATTAAACGTTGCCCTAAGTGAAAGCTTCGAGTTTCCCACGGCATGAACAAGATACTCCCATAGATTGGTTCAACTGTTCCTCGAAATCTGCAATTAGTTTGCAGATGTAGTGATTCATCCAAACTCTATATAGCTTCATAATCATCAACATAAACAATATTTTGATTCGAATCTTTAAAAACCAGATGTGTTTTCCTTTTTAACATCTAAAAAATCCTTTGTAATTGTTTAAAAAAATTAATATGATATTTTTCCAATATATATGAAAACTTTAAAATATTTATCTTTTAGAAATAGAACTTATCGTTAAAAAAAGTTAATATGATACCCTTTTCAATATATATGAAAAATAAAAAATATTTATCTTTTAAAAATGAAAAGACTAAATTTTTAAAAAAGTTTATTTGTTTTTCAGTTTTCACAAAAAATGCACTTGTGGACCATTGAAGTATATGACAAAAACTGTTTATAAATTTACCAATGAACATATTAAGAATGTGAAGGCGACAAAAACTCCAATGTTTGCATTTATTTGTTAAAATTTTAAGATTTTTTAAAATAAATTAGCGAGAAACTAAATAATTATTATTAATGGTAACCTATAAAAAATATATGTATTACACTTATATGTTTATCGTCATATAATAAAACATATATATATTATACCAAGAGAACAAAAAGAGAACTATGAGAATTAATAAAGAACACATACAATCATCTTCCTTTTTGTATTTCTCATTGATTAGCAAAAGAAATAATTACAAGTGTAAATTATGTAACTAATACTCTAACTGGTCATTATTACTATTTATTCCTTAATTTTTTTACCATTTATTAAGAATATGTTTTCCATATTATTCCTTGTTTTAAAGGAATTACAGAACAAAATTATTCCTTATCAAATTTGGAGAGAAACAATATATATATATATATATATATATTCTATTTATTTTTGTTACTTTTACTCTTTTTTTTATTATTGTTCTTTTTAATAGTAACCAATTAGAGCCTAACAAACTTATCTAATATATTTGTGTCAACACATGAACGCTGCGTCGATAGTATATAACGACAACTTCCTCCTCCGGTAAACAAATCGTCTTCAATCCAAAAATCATAAGAATCAGAGAATCGATCTTTGAGAGTTTTCTCCTTCTTGACCATAAATAAGACCATTAGAAATCATTAGTTCCTCCGACGATTTCTTTAATGGTTAAAATTTAGTTAAAAATCAAATAATCTAATGGATGAATCATTCCTTGCTCCAATGTAGTTTGCACTTTGCAACCCAATGAAATCATTTGATTACTAAATTTTTTTATGAAAAATGTGTATTAGACATTTAACAGCTGAGATTACTAAAAAGTTGCAAGCATTTATCATTAGACATTGCAGTCATAGTTGATAATAGGCCCAAGCTTCAGGCCCACTAAAAGCCCGAAATAACAATGGCGCCAAAATCAAGTGAAGTCCCCGCCTAAATCATCTCTTCTCACTAAAAAAGCGCCAAAACCTCTACTCTCGTCTCTCTCTCCCAACTCTCCGATCAGCCATGGCTTCCGATTCTCCTCCCAGCAACACCAACGACGGTACTCACTCTCTCTCTCTTCCCCCCTCTCTCTCAGTCTGAAATTGTTTCGTGATTTTGATTTGCTCACTACCCGCCGCAGGTCCTTCCTCTCCCGAAGAGAACGCTTCGAGTCCAATCGGTAACACCTACTCTTCGCCTTCCGCCCTCCGCAGTCGCCGGCTAGGAAGATCCTCAACGCCTAGTCAATTCGCGACTCCTCCACCGCCTTCGCGCCTCGGAGCCTCAAACTCAACGCCTCCCACATCTCGTCCTTCCGCCGCCAGATCCAACGGGAGAAATGGACGCGGCGGCCCAGCGACACCCTCGTACACTGACGATGTGCCTCCTTCTTCCGAAGACGGCGAAGAGGACGGAGCCGACGATACCGCTCCGACCTTCGTCTGGGGAACCAACATCAGCGTCCAAGACGTTAAATCGGCGATTGAGATGTTCGTTAAGCATTTCAGAGAAGCTAAGGAGAATAGTGAGGATTTGTTCAGAGAAGGGAAGTATATGGCTTCGATACGCAAGGTGATTGAAATCGAAGGAGAGTGGATCGATGTTGATGCCTATGATGTGTTTGACTATGATCCTGATTTGTACAACAAGATGGTTCGGTACCCATTGGAAGTTCTCGCCATCTTTGATATTGTGTTGATGGATATCGTTTCCACGATCGATCGTTTGTTCGAGAAGCATGTTCAAGTGAGGATTTTCAACCTCAGGACTTCTACTTCCATGAGAAATCTCAATCCATCTGGTTAGTGTAAATCTTCATAGTTCATTTTCTTACTTCTCTAGTGCTTAGCTTAGCTTAGCTTACCTTAATGTTCAATGTCTGTTTTGCTTTTTTTTGTCAGATATCGAGAAGATGATCTCTTTGAAAGGAATGATTATTCGGAGTAGCTCTATCATTCCTGAAATCAGGGAAGCTGTGTTTAGATGCCTCGTTTGTGGTTACTTCTCTGATCCCATCATCGTTGATAGAGGTAGTTTTTGATCACTTGGATTCATCCATCTCTTCATATGTCTCTGCATATAGATAGAGGTTATTTGATATACTAATGTTTGTTCTATTGTTAGGGAAAATAAGCGAGCCTCCTACTTGTTTGAAACAAGAATGCCTTGCCAAGAACTCTATGACATTAGTGCACAACCGATGCAGGTAAGCTCTAAACATAGATTTTGATTCTGTTGCCTGATTCTGTTTAATCCCTGTAACTTACTTACTTCATTCGTGGATCAGATTTGCTGATAAGCAGATTGTGAGGCTTCAGGAAACGCCTGATGAGATTCCTGAAGGAGGAACACCTCACACGGTTAGCTTGTTGCTGCATGATAAGCTAGTTGATAATGGAAAACCTGGTGACAGAATTGAGGTAAAAGCAGTAATTTAATCAGTGTAGTTCATGCGTTACTATATGGTTTTAGTTGATAATCAGAGCTTGTTTTGTTTTGATAGGTCACTGGAATTTACAGAGCAATGACTGTCCGAGTAGGGCCTGCTCACAGGACTGTGAAATCTGTGTTTAAGGTATGTCGTCTTACCTTTTCTTCTGTTGGTAGTTCCTCTTTATGTTCTCTTGTTTACATTCTGACATTTTCATTTTTATATTCTCTTGTTAATGTTGAGCACAGACCTACATCGATTGCCTTCACATAAAGAAAGCAAGTAAGACAAGAATGGCTGCTGAGGAACCAATGGATGTTGACAATAGTCTGCGTAGAGTCGATGAAGATGTTGAGTTAGATGAGGGGAAGGTTTTTTTTCATCTTTTTAACATAAGAAAATTATAATTTTGTAACTTATTCCTTCGTTCCTTCATTCCAACCAGAACATTAACTTATTTCTTTTGTTAATTTTTGCAGTTGAGAAAGTTTCAGGAACTCGCTAAACAACCAGATATATATGAGAGGCTTAGTAGATCACTAGCACCAAACATCTGGGAGTTGGATGACGTCAAAAAGGGTCTTCTGTGTCAGGTGCTGTAACACTTTTCATCCTTGCTTATGGTTTCAACAAAATCTAAACAAGTTTAGTTAATTTTACTGAGACGGATTTTACATGTGAAGCTTTTCGGAGGGAATGCTTTGAACTTGGCGTCTGGTGCTAATTTTCGTGGCGACATCAACATCTTACTTGTTGGTGATCCCGGTACAAGCAAGTCCCAGCTTCTCCAGTACATTCATAAGCTTTCACCCCGTGGCATCTACACAAGTGGGCGAGGGAGCTCAGCTGTTGGTTTGACGGCATACGTAGCTAAAGATCCTGAGACAGGAGAAACTGTATGTTAATCTTGTTTTCAATCTTTGCTTTTTCATTGTATTCTCAGGATTTTCTCAAGCCTAACCGTTTAACCTGAATGTCACATCGTTTAGGTTTTGGAGAGTGGAGCTCTTGTTCTTAGTGACAGAGGTATCTGCTGTATTGATGAATTTGACAAAATGTCTGACAGTGCAAGGAGCATGCTGCATGAGGTTTGTTACTCTCTCCTTCTCAAGTTGTAGCTTTGTAGTTTGTGATCTCTCAAGTTCGTCCATACGATTGCATTACTGATGAATATTATTGCTGTTCCAGGTTATGGAACAACAGACCGTTTCAATAGCAAAGGCTGGTATCATTGCATCTCTAAATGCAAGGACTTCTGTGTTGGCTTGTGCAAATCCTAGTGGCTCACGCTATAATCCCAGGCTTTCTGTTATCGACAATATTCACCTTCCTCCGACTCTGCTCTCTAGGTACCCTGCAATCCTTGAACGAAAGTGACATTCTTTTTTGAAGCGGATCTTCATTTCGTGTGTTACTAATTGTGTATATCATTTTGCGTCTTAGATTCGATTTGATCTACTTGATTCTTGACAAGCCCGATGAGCAGACGGATCGACGGCTTGCCAAGCATATTGTAGCCCTACACTTTGAAAACGCAGAGGTCTTATAATTTTTTCCTCAGATGAGCAGATGATTTGTGTTTCGACCTTTTTTCTTACGTTAACTGGTATCATTGTATCTCTAAATCTGCAGAGTGCACAAGAGGAAGCCATAGATATCACTACACTGACTACTTATGTTAGCTATGCACGCAAGAACATCCATCCTAAACTATCAGATGAAGCTGCAGAGGAATTGACCCGAGGTTATGTTGAGCTCAGAAAAGCGGGAAAGTTCGCCGGTAGTAGCAAAAAGGTTTGCTTTTGTAAAACTTCAGTTGGGTTTTTGCTATGTGTAGATGCTATGGTTTAGTCTCATGCCTTGAGCTCTCTTTCAGGTGATAACAGCAACTCCTAGGCAAATTGAAAGCTTGATCAGACTTAGTGAGGCCTTGGCTCGAATGCGCTTCTCCGAATGGGTTAGTGAAAACACTCAATAAGTTTGAAATTATCTTTTTTCTCATTTCACACACCAAACTAAAAATTGGTTCTTGTGATGGACAAAAGGTTGAAAAACATGACGTGGACGAGGCATTTCGACTTCTCAGAGTTGCAATGCAGCAATCAGCAACTGATCACGCCACTGGTAAGTTTCTCTTCACAGTAACTTTTATAACCCATTATTATCATGAGCATTCAATACCTTATCTCTAACAATAAACACACGTTTTGGTTTTGGTGAAGGAACCATTGACATGGACCTGATAAACACTGGAGTCTCAGCAAGTGAAAGAATGAGACGGGACATCTTTGTTTCGACAATTAGAGACATCTCTCTTGAGAAATTGCAAATCGGAGGATCATCAATGCGCTTATCCGATGTAATTAAATATGCTTTACTCCTTTATTATTTTCTCAATTTTTCATAAGCACAAAGCAAGCAAACTGGGAGAAACTATTGTCTCGAGAGATTTGCTAAGTGTAAAATGAAAAATGTTGTGCAGTTAATGGAAGAGCTGAAGAAGCATGGAGGCAACATAAACACCGAGATTCATCTTCATGATGTGAGTCACCTTTTTTTATAATAATAAACTTTTTGATCCGCTCACTAAAAAGACAGATAAATTAACAAAAGTCTTTGTTGTCGTGACGCATTTAATCAGGTAAGAAAAGCGGTCGGAACGTTAGCCAGTGAAGGGTTTCTGGTTGTTGAAGGTGATAGAATCAAGAGAGTCTAATAATCACTTCATGAGGAAAGGTTTAAATATTTGCTGTGACTTAGAGTTTGATGATTTGAGTAAGCATGATTAATAGGAAACTTAGCAAAATGATGGATGTGGGCGTGGCTCAGCCCATCTTTTCACTAGTTGTCAAATTTGTAATGACTTTTAAAGTTTTAAGACAAAATCTATCTATAAACCTTTTTGAATGTTTTCAAGTGGTCACAAATGTTTTAAGACTCCTATTCCTATAACTATTACCGACTTGATTAAGTTATTATTATTTTCACATGATTTGGTACCTTTTTTGAAAAGCGAATCATAATCGTGCATTATAAAATGATTGACCATTTGCAAATTACATAAAAAAGAAAAATGTGAGATGAACGAAAGAAGAAAGTTAGAAAAAGATTTAAGAGATTTAAGATTGGTCCACAGATCGAACATTACTGGATTTTGGTAACTAAAGTGAGAAAGCGATGATCATTCATTAACAAAAGTAAATAAGAAAAGAAAAAAAAGTGAACGATACGATTGGTCTCAACTCTCAAAGTCTCAACTTTGTTCGTGTCTCATTCGAAAGGACGTGGAACTTGCTGCTCCTTTACCTAGTGCTACTGCTACCCATCTCTCTCTCACCAAATCTTTTTAAAAGTCAACTAAAATTTGTAATTTATAATCACACTCTTTACTTTTAGACGATACACTCCAAATCAGATCATAGGAATTTATAATAGTTTTAAATTGTTGGGAAAAGAATAATATTCTTAATTATTGCAGAATTGGTTTTGAGATTAGTGTGATTTTAGATTGAGTGAGATTTGCGCCAGCTAAGAGCATTTTCAATCATACTCCATTTTCAATTTCAAACATTATTTTGAAGTAAAATTATCTCCAATCCTACTCTATTTTCAACTCCAAAAATGGAGTAAACCTAAATTCTACTCCATATTTGGAATAGATCTAAATTTTATTCTATTTTGAAGTTGAACTTTTTATTTGCAAATTAATCCTTTAGAAAATATTATAAAATTGATATTTATGAATAGTTAAACACTACAATTATTCTTAGAAAAGATTACAAAATACAATAAACTTAAAAATATATAATAAGTGCTGAAATTAAGATAAACAATATAAATAAATTTAAGACCATAAATATTAAAAAAATAATAATAAAAATTTCAGTAATAGTAATGTTTAATAAATTGCATATGCTTTTTGTGATATTATGTAATTTTTATTATTTAATAAATATTTAATTTATAATTTTTGAAAGAAATTATAAACAATAAATAAATAGGGTTTATTTATTAATTTTAAAACTAAAAGGTATTAATAATAAAATAGAATAAGAATCTATTTAGAATATTTTTTTTGGAGTAAAAAATAGAGATATATATTGAAGCAAAATACAACTTTATTTTAGAATTACTCTATTTTAGAGTATAAAATAGAGAAATAAATTAGAGATGATGTAAATAAAATAGAAAAAAATAGTATGTTTGTTGACAAAAATAAACCCAAGACAAGAAAAAGGAAAGCATAGATTCGTGTGTCCAAAACAGATTATCAAAAGAATATAAAAAAACTTTCCAAGCGTTCACACCCACAATATGCCATCTCACTATTTGGGTCAAACATAGAAAGCCAACGATAGAAAAAACCAAAAAGACTCGATAGAAATTCAAAAACATAGTTGTCGTAAACAGGTTTCAATCTAAGAGATCAGTAACGAATATTCCCTCATTTAAAAACCAATACATTGCCCCTAATTTTCTTCTTAAAACGATTTTTTTCCCCTTATTTATAGGGAAAGAAAAAAATAACTCAGAAGGTCGGAAAAGAAAATGGGATTAGATTTCTTTTCTGTTCTTCTTGTTCTGGGCTTGGTCTTGAACAGCTTGTTGCTGTTCTGTAATGGAGGTCTCACCAGTAGTTTTGTCAGGAAAGTTGAGAAATCCATTGATATGCCTCTTGATAGCGATGTTTTTCGTGTTCCTCCTGGATATAATGCTCCTCAACAGGTACACCTTTTTTCGAAAATCAACAAATCTTTTCAGAGTTTTGTTGTGGGTTCTGTTTATAGTTATTAAATTAGGAAGCTTTATGTTGTTGTTGTAGCTACTAATTTACCTGAAAGTGTTGTTAGGTGGATGTTAAGGTTTTTTTCCCCAATTTAATATTAAGTACCACTTTTTGTGTTTTTTTAATCTTGTTCTGATGATGGAAAAAAGCTAATTATTGGACTTTCTGATCGATTCAAGCTTTTGCTTATTGGAAGTTTATAAAGTTCTTAACTTTTCTTGTTTTTTTTTGTCTATTCTTAGTTAAACAATTTGATCGAAGTTGGTTTTATAAAATCACAATCTTTTCTGAGTTATATGTTGTGGGTTCCTCTTTATAATTATTAAATTAAAAAGCCTTTTTGTTGTTGTTAGGTAGATGTTAAGGTTTTTTCCCCAATTTAATATTAAGTACAACCTTTTGTTTTTATAATCTTGTTCTAAACTTGTAATGGTGGAAAAAAAGCTTTTTATTGGACGATACTGATTGGAAGTTTATAAAGTTCTTAACTTGTCTTTCCGTCTCTTAATTTATTTGTTAAACAATTTGATCAACGTTGTTCTTTTTTAACAATTATTAATTTTTGGGTTTTCCACACAAAAAGGTGCATATAACGCAAGGAGATGTAGAAGGTAAAGCAGTGATAGTGTCTTGGGTGACACCAGAAGCAAAAGGATCTAACACTGTTCTTTACTGGAAAGAGAACAGCTCCAAAAAGCTTAGAGCCCGTGGCAAATACAACACTTACAAGTTCTACAATTATACTTCTGGTTACATCCATCATTGTCTCATCAGAAACTTGGAGGTTCATCATCATCATTGTCACAATCTTAGCTTTTGTACTTATCTGATTTTGTGATTCTCTTTCTTGCAGTATGACACTAAGTACTACTATGAGGTAGGTGTGGGGAAAACAAAGCGCAAGTTCTGGTTCTACACTCCTCCTGAAGTTGGTCCAGACGTTCCTTACACGTTTGGTCTCATTGGTACTTGTCCTTGAAACATATTCATGGCTTCCCATGGACTTAGAACTTGAACTTGAATTGCAAAAAAATGTTCTCTTGCAGGGGATCTTGGGCAGACTTTTGATTCAAACATGACCTTAACACATTATGAGAACAGCCCAACAAAGGGACAAGCGGTTTTGTTTGTTGGGGATATCTCATACGCTGATACTTATCCAAATCACGACAACAACAGATGGGACACTTGGGGAAGATTTGCTGAAAGAAGCACAGCTTATCAGCCTTGGATTTGGACCGCAGGGAACCATGAAATGGATTTTGCCCCAGAGATTGTAAACCTTCTTGCTTCATCTTCTTTGTTTTGGGCTTTTTAGACTTCGAAATTCCTATAGAACAAAGAGCATCAAGTAATACTGATATTGAGATGGGTTGTTGCAGGGAGAAACGAAGCCGTTTAAGCCATTCACGCATAGGTACCGTACTCCTTACAGAGCATCAGGCAGCACAGAGCCATTCTGGTACTCGATCAAGAGAGGACCTGCTCACATAATCGTGCTATCTTCATATTCTGCGTATGGTAAATACACGCCGCAATACACGTGGCTTGAAGAGGAGTTCCCAAAGGTTAACAGGACGGAAACTCCATGGTTGATCGTTCTGGTGCATTCACCCTGGTACAACAGCTACGATTACCATTTCATGGAAGGTGAAACCATGAGAGTCATGTTTGAATCGTGGTTCGTCAAGAACAAAGTAGATGTTGTTTTTGCAGGTCACGTCCACGCCTACGAAAGATCAGTAAGATCAAGAACTTTTTGGCTCCTTATTTGTCTCTTTTAAACTATAAGAAATTCTGATAAATCTGAGTTGTTTTTGAAAACCAGGAACGGATATCAAACATAGCTTACAACGTGGTTAACGGCAATTGCAGTCCGGTTAAAGATCAATCTGCTCCGGTCTATATAACCATTGGTGATGGAGGAAACATTGAAGGATTGGCTAACAAGTAAAGCTATAATTAAACACTTCTGATCATTGCAATCGATTTCTTGATTAGATTCAGATGATGAAATTTTGAAATGTGTTGATTATGGTTTCTGCAGAATGACTGAGCCTCAGCCTAAGTACTCTGCTTTCAGAGAAGCGAGCTTCGGCCATGCGATCTTCTCGATAAAGAACAGGACTCACGCACACTATGGATGGCACAGGAACCAGGATGGTTGCGCCGTGCAGGCTGACACCATGTGGTTCCACAACCGATTCTGGTATCCTGTTGATGATTCTCCTTCTTTTGATTCTTGAGAATCTCAGAATCTTATTTGTATTGTTGTATTTTTATATAACTCTTAGATTTGAATAAGCATGAATAAATGAAATGTGGGTGAGTTCTTGTTCTTGTTCCTGTCTTGTTTAAAGAGTAAAAGACCAACGTTAATCACACCAAACATGCCGTTTCTTGACATAAAACGGCGCGTAGTTCCACCTTAACACTAACATTTTTATGCATCCCAGTGATAAAATCAACGAGAAATTATGTTTTGTCACATCAATGTTATTTTCGTTGTTTCTTATATCTATTTAAATTATTGCCATTGGACTTCTTACTTCTTTGGTTTTATTGTTTTCGGTGCACCTCAACAAAAAAAAAATGCTAATAATGGTCATGGAGATTGTAGAATTAGACAGAGAATTTTCAATCTCATGAGCTATCACTTACAATAGTCTTATGACTATAAATTAATAATATTGAAACTTGAAAATTTATAAAATAATTATTTATTTATAGTAATTATTAATTTATAGATATATTATTTAGTTAATAAATTAATTTTAAAATTGATAAAACATATTAATTTATTGAAATATTAATAAATCGAATATTAATTTATAAAAGTTTTACTGATTATTCAGTTTCGTTTTGATAGTTATTTATGTAAAATTAAAAAATTAAAACAAAAACAACAATATTGTCATTTTTTCTCTTTGCGCCACATTGTCTCTTTAAATTATACATTTTATGTTCCAATATATATATATATATATATATATATATATATATCTTTAAGACTTCAACGGCGTCAATAGTTTTAAAATTGAGAAGTTAGGTGACGGAAATGAAAAAGACATGCAAAGCAATAAAAAAAATGGGCAAGATTCGTATGTATTTTTTTGGAACTTCAACAAGATTCGTATGTTCTAACAGATTATCAATCAAAAACATTAATATTGTTCCAAGCTTTAACGTACGGCATCACTCTCTCTCTCTATTTAAACGAAAACCAAAGCAAATGAAATAGAATAATATCCTTTTCCTTTTCCCACACAAACTCAGACTTGTCTTCTTGATATAGGATAAACTTTAAAGTTCAAAAAACAAAGATAAAACAAGGAAAAACTCAAACTTGAGAAAATGGGTTCGCTTGTTCTAATTGTACTGGTCTTTGTCCTTAACAGTTTTGTTATGTTCATCAATGGTGGCATAACAAGCAAGTACGTTAGGAGGCTAGAAGGAACCCTTGACATGCCCCTTGACAGTGATGTTTTTCATATTCCTCCTGGTTATAATGCTCCTCAACAGGTTTATATACACTTATATTATATTATTTTATAAAATCAACAATCTTTTTAAAGTTTTTTTGTGTGGATATCATGAAATTTGGAAAGCTCTTTATTTTATTTTTATTGTTGCTTATATTCCTCCCATTGTTTAGAATGGTGTTTTTAGTTAATTTTCCAATATAATATTAGGTATCACTGTTTTGTTTTTTAAATGTTGTTCTAATGGTGGAAAAAATATGCTGATCGACTCAAGCTTTGCTTATTGGAAGTTTATAAAGTTAAATTTACTTTTCTTTGTTAAAAAAATTGATCGAAAGTGGGTTTTTGATTTGGGTTTTCCACAAAAAAGGTGCATATAACACAAGGAGACGTAGAAGGCAAGGCAGTGATAGTGTCTTGGGTGACACAAGAAGCAACAGGATCTAACACTGTCCTTTATTGGAAAGAGAATAGCTCCAAAAAGCTCAAAGCACATGGCAAATCCAAGACTTACAAGTTCTTCAACTATACTTCTGGTCACATCCACCATTGCCCCATCAGAAAATTGGAGGTCCACATCATCATAAACAAGATCATCATCATCTTTGCTATTGTTGTTGTTATCTGATGTTTGTCTCTTCTTGCAGTATGACACCAAGTACTACTATGTGGTAGGTGTGGGACAAACAGAACGTAAGTTCTGGTTCTTCACTCCTCCTGAAGTAGGTCCCGACGTTCCCTACACGTTTGGTCTCATTGGTAATTATCTTAAAACATATTCATTATTTTAGCAGCCTCTCATGGACTTCAACCACAAGTTGTTTTTGCAGGGGATCTTGGGCAGACTTTTGACTCAAACATAACCTTAACACATTATGAGAAGAACCCAACAAAAGGGCAAACAGTTTTGTATCTTGGGGATCTCTCGTACGCTGATACTTATCCATATCACGACAATACGAGATGGGACACTTGGGGAAGATTTGTTGAAAGAAGCACAGCTTATCAGCCCTGGATTTGGACAACAGGAAACCACGAACTCGACTTTGCCCCAAAGATTGTAAAGCTTCTATCTTACTTTATAAATGTTTTGGTGGTTGGTTAAACAAGCTTTGCTTGGATTATCTTGAAATGGATTGTTTTCATGAAATTTTCAGGGAGAAACCAAACCGTTTAAGCCATTCACACGAAGGTACCGTACTCCTTACCGATCATCAGGCAGTACAGAAACATTCTGGTACTCGATAAAGAGAGGACCGGCTTACATAATCGTGCTAGCTTCATACTCAGCATACGGTAAAGTCGCCTTAAAAAGCTCTTGATACATTGCAATACACGTAAATTCATCAATACATCATTTCTTGGACAGGCAAATACACACCGCAATACACATGGCTCGAAGAAGAGTTCCCAAAGGTTAACAGAACGGAAACTCCATGGCTGATCGTTCTGATGCATTCACCGTGGTACAACAGCTACGATTACCATTACATGGAAGGCGAAACCATGAGAGTCATGTATGAGCCGTGGTTCGTCAAGTACAAAGTAGATGTTGTATTTGCGGGTCATGTCCACGCCTACGAAAGATCTGTAAGATTCAAATACTTTTGGCTCCTCATGTCTCTTTTAAACTATTGATGTTCAGAAATCTTAGCTAATGTGAAACCAGGAACGCGTATCAAACATAGAGTACAACGTGGTTAACGGGATTTGCTCTCCGGTCAAAGATCTATCTGCTCCGGTTTACATCACCATTGGTGATGGAGGCAATCTTGAGGGACTGGCCACAAAGTAAGCTATAAACACTTGTGCTCATTGCAACCAATTTTTGATTAGAGTTGAGTAAGGAGATGTGTGTTTGAATGTGTGATCATGGTTTCTGCAGTATGACTGAGCCACAGCCTAAGTACTCTGCCTTCAGAGAAGCGAGCTTCGGGCATGCGATTTTCTCGATAAAGAACAAGACTCACGCTCACTATGGATGGCACAGAAACCAGGATGGTTACGCCGTGAAAGGTGACACCATGTGGTTCTGTAACAGATTCTGGCATCCCATAGATGACTCTACTTCTTCTGATTCTTGAGAATCTCAGAATTCTATTTGTATGCATAATGCATCTGATTCAATAAACAAATGCAATATGAGCTACTTAATCAATAAACTTCATGGTGACACAACGAAAAAGAAGCTGTGGACCTTTTAAACAATTAAAAAACATGAGAGTTTAAAAAAGAATTCAAATGAAGTACATGATTATTGGTCAATTGGTGGACGATGAAAGTAATATTTTATGTAAGATATTATTTATTTCGTTAATATTATAAGCAAGATATACTTTATTTCTTACATATAATATTAGATTTTGTTGTTCTCAAGTATTTTTAAGTAATGTTCAATATCAACTAAATACAGTAAAAAAATATATAAATTAATATTTAATATAAATCAATAAATATTTTTAAATTTAAATTGGACGAATTCAAAATATAACACAAACTAAAAAATTAATAATATATGTATTTGTAAATATACTGTCCCATTGATATTATAAATTAATAACTATTTTAAAAATATTTTTATATAAAAATATAACTATTGTAATTTACGAAGATGTGAGTATATTGTTGTTTTCTATTAAAACTAAAATATTTTTATAACTTATCTCAAATTTCAAAATATTATAAACTTTAAAGAAAAATATTATTTATAATGAGTTATTAAAAATAATTTATTTTATTCAAAATTGATAAATTAATTATTTTATAAATTAATTAATATCAAAAATCTTAATATTATTTATTTATACAGTTTAGAATAAATGTATATAAAAAAAAAGTTTCAGAGAAACATGATAGGTTTTTTTCGTTACCAATGAAAAACATCAAAAGACAAAACTCCAGAAGTGAAAGATTCAAGTGAAAGCCATCCTTGAGTTTCAAAGCAAGTCTTTAAGTAATTAAAGTAAAAAAAAAAAAAAACTGTTAAAGTCTACCTAAAAACCTCATAAATTGATAAATTTCCATGTTACAACAAAAGAGATACATTTTATAGACCCTGAACAGTTTATACGAGAAGGAAGAAGAGCGTAAAGGAGAGTACTGATGAGGTGGCAGAGGAGCATAATTGAATAAAAATCTTAGAGATCCTTTAGTAATCAAAATCTCACATTAAATCAAATAAGTTTTTCATTAGAGGAATAGATTTGACCATATCACACATTCATAAGGATCATAACACATCCTCTTAACTGAATTTTTATTGGGAGAATAACTAAACAGCGACCTAGACCAATTGGGGGGAAATTAGCAACAATAACCAAAAACACAAAGCTTGGAGATTTAATAAATAAATAGTACAATTTGATCATATTTTTTAAATTTAAACAACTTATCTGACGGAAACGAAAAAGACATGCAAAACAAAAGGGAGCAAGATTTGCGTGTCCTAACTCCTAACAAGTATCAAAAACATAGAAAGCGTTCCAAGCCTTCACATACGGTATCTCTCTCTATTTAGGTCAAACAAAAACGGAAGCAAAGTAAATATAATCATAACCGAAACAGACTTTGTTACGACTCAATCTAAGAGATCCGGTAAGCAAATCTCGCTCCTCAAATCTAAGATACATTTCACCTTTCTTCTTGCATAAATATATTTCTCCTTATTTCTACTAGTCTTGGTCAGTAAGATTAATAATTTTAGATCATCATGTCTCTTTAAGATGAAACTATAGTTCCTGAGAAATCTTAGATATTGTGAATCCAGGAACGTGTATCAAACATAGCTTACAACGTGGTCAACGGCATTTGTAGTCCAGTCAAAGATCAGTCTGCTCCAATCTGCATTACCATTACCAAGTAAGCTATACTTAAACACTTCTGATCATTGCAACGGGTTTTCCATATGATGAATCTTGAATGTGTGATCATGGTTTATTGCTGTTTTGCAGGGGATATCGATCTCTCATACGCTGATCAATACATCATATCAGAGGGCCTCTCTTTGGATAAGAAAATCTGAGAAATGGGTCGTGTGCAAGATCTATGTACGTGTTGTTCTTGTTCTTGATTGGTCTTGAACATCTTAGTGATGCTTTGTAATGGAGGCATTAAGATATGTCAGGAGATTAGAACAAGCCGTTGATATGCCTCTTGATAGCCATGTGTTTATGTGTTACTCAAGAGGCATATCAACGGTTCCTTCTAATCTCCTGAGATATCTACCGGTTGTGCCTCCATTACAGAGCAGCACTAAGCTGTTCAGAACCAAACCCAAGACAAGAGCAACAGAACATAGATCTGATCCATTTATCTCACTAAGCATGCTTCTTTTTGACCTACCTTATTTTCCAAGCTTGACTCTATGAAATTGACTCCTCACAACAACATTCCGTCTGAGTGGAAACTTAAATCTGCAATATGAAGTAGAAGAATCATGAAGATCACTAGTCGAATAATCAGAAACGAAAACGACCAGAAGATAGCCTATTAGAATTAGTTACATATACGTGCCTTGCTTAGTGATAAGTGTAATGAAACCTTATAATCAATTATCGTTATTTTAAATATATTGTGATTAAACTTAACTGAAAATCCGTTATTTTAAGGGAGAATTTCTTTTTATAACCTAAAAGTTGAATTTTTCTCAATATGTAAACCCCTTATTGAATGTTTGGCAAAACTAACCCAAAAGGGTAGTGAAATTACAGTTCAGTCATTTGTGACTAAATAAAAAACGTCTGCCACAGTTACGATTTTATCCTTCGAGAAGGCTACGTAAGAAGTATACAATCGTTGTATGTAGACTTCAAAAGAAGTCTACTACATAATTAGTTTTTTAAAAATTAATTAGAAAATATTAAATAATAAATTTCTAAAAAATTGGTAAACATAAGTAAGACATATATATTTGACATGTATAGAATACAAAATTTCATTAAGACATATATATTTGACATGTATAGAATACAAATTTTCATACAAATGAATCAACTTAAATGCAGAAAGAAAATTAACTAGAAAACATACAACCCCTTAGAAGTCTACTACAGAAAACATACGTATGCAGTAGACTTATCGGGTAGACTTCTCGGGTAGACTTCTCCAGTAGACTTAAAAAAAACATAGCGGGAAATCAAAATTATTTAACAAATTGGACGGGAATCGGAACAAATTAGGCGGGAATCGAAATCGAAAAAATATACCAAAGTAGACTTTTCGAGTAGACTTCTCCAGTAGACTTTTTAAGAAGTCTACTTAACCGAAAGTTTTCCTACATATATAAGGAGATTAACCTAATTGGGTTAAAAATAAATTTTTGCTCTCCCTCTAAAAAACGCCTCTCTCTCCTCTACCTCCTCTCTGGCCATGAATCTCTTCACCTTCTTCTCTTGCCATCAAACCCATCTCTATCCTCCATCCTCTCTATCTCAATTATGGTGATGGTAAGCAAATCTGAGGTTTTGTGTTTCTTTTGTTGTTTGTTTTGTGTTCATATTGTAAATCTGGGTTTATTATTACATATTTGAGCTTCTTGTTGTAAATATGAGTTTATTCTTGCAAATATGCGCTTCTTATGGTATAAATTTTGTAGAATTTGTTGCAGATCTGATTTTTTTGTTGTCTCAGATCTGATTTTTTTTTTGTAGATCTGAATTTTTAGTTATTGCAGATCTGATTTTGTTTATTTTGTTGCAGATCTGAATTTTGTTTATTTTGTTGCAGATCTATAAATTTTTTTGTTGCATAGCTGATTTCTTTTTTTCTTTTTTGCTGCAGATATGATGTTTGTAAATATAGCAGATTTTGTTGAAATATGAATTTTAACATTTTTTTTCTTATTGTGCATACCTGAGCTTATTTATTTCTCTTTTGTTTTTGTTGGAAGCAGACTTCAGCTGCAGATTTCTCGAGTAGACTTCTCGAGCAGACTTCTCGAACAGAATTCAGTCACATACATCTATTTCAGATATTTTGTTTTTATATGCTAATTTTAAGATTTATAATTAGTGATCTTTAAATGTTTATTTGATTAGAAGGTCTACTTTATATGTAAAGTTGGATTGCAATTAATGTTATTTTTATATATTCTTAAATTATGTGTGTTTTATCATATTCAGATTTCATATGCAGACTTCTTTGTCAGACTTAGTCATCACCATCTTTGAACCTCTAATAACACAAGAAAATTAATTCAATTTAACTATAAAAAACATGTAAAACTCATAACAAAAAAAAACATGTAAAACTACTTAGAAATACCACAATTAGTATTTCTTCACACATTCTCAATAAACAGTGGGTATGTGTGAACCATTCTCTGTAAGAAAACAAAATTCAAACCACATTAGAAACCATTATTGAAAAAGTAAACTGCAAACGTAGTCTACTATGTAGACTTCAAATGAAGTCTGCGGAGTATTAAGCTAAATACCAAATAAAAGAAGAAAATTAGTTAAAGCTAAACTGTAACAAAAAAAAATTCAAACTCATACATAAGCAAGAACAATAAATATCACACACTTAAGAGTCAAATGATAAATTTTATTTGTTACAAATATCTGATCAATTAAATTTATAAAAAATTAATGTCGCAGACTGCAAACGAAGTTTACTATGTAGACTTCAAGTGAAGTCTACGGACTAATAAGCTAAATACCAATTAGAACAAGAAAATTAATTAAAGCTAAACTATAACAAATAAACATGTCAAACTCCTACATAAGTAAGAACAATAAATAATACACACTTAAGAGTCAAAGAATAAATTTTATTTGTTACAAATATCTGATCAATTAATTTAAAAAAAAAAAAATATCGCAGACTGCAAACGAAGTCTACGGACTAATAAGCTAAATACCAAATAAAACAAGAAACTTGATTTCACCAAATATATATAATATAAACATGTAAAACTGATACAAATGTAAGTACACTTACTAAAACAATCTTAAAACCAAAAAAATCTTAATAATTCGTTGTAAATTTGATAAAAACGCGTTTATAAAAAAGTGAAATAATAGACTAACAACGAAGTTTACAAAAGTAGACTTGCAATGAAGTCTACAAATGTAGACTTCGTATGAAGTCTATATTTTAGATTACTTTTGCAATTGCCAAAAGATGAGTAGACTTCTTCAAAGAAGTCTACTCACTCCGAGAAGTCTACTCGAGAATTCTACGTAAAAAAAGGTTAGTTTTGCAATTGACCAAACTTTGACTTTTTCGTAAGAAGTCTACTTGCAAAAGTAGACTTCTTAGAGGTTAGTTTTGCAATTGACCAATGTTGACTTTTCAAAGTAGACTTCGTTTGAAGTCTACTTCAAAAGTAGACTTCAAACGAAGTCTACTTGGGTTAGTTTTGGGGTTGACCAAACATTGAATTTATTTTCGAGTAGACTTTTTTTGAAGTCTACTCAGAAAGTATACTTCAAACGAAGCCTACTCGGAAAAGTAGACTTCAAGCGAAGTCTACTCGAAAAAGTCAACATTGGTCAATTGCAAAACTAACCTCTAAGAAGTCTACTTTCAAAGTAGACTTCTCCGAAGAAGTCTACTTTTGCGAGTAGACTTCTTACGAAAAAGTCAAATGTTGGTCAATTGCAAAACTAACTCCTTTTTACGTAGACTTCTTTTGAAGTTTACACTATTTTTTTTTTTGTTGTCAAAGGAAATGGCGCAGACTTCAACTGAAGTCTACTGTCAGAAATTGGTACACCCGGTCAATTGCAAAACTAACATGTGTGTTGACCAGCAGACTTCTTTTGAAGTCTACTTTCGTGGCACAGATCTGAAAACTCACGAAAATTGACTGAAAAAATCACCTACCAGTGGTATTTAACTTATTCAACCACCGATTTCTTTGATTCCAGCCACCACCAAACAAGCCCAAACAATTTGCCAGACCAAATCACCAAATATGGCAATATATTAAAACATCAAGTTTCAAAAATTTAGATTAGAGAGTTTTTGTGCTGAAAATGGTGAAAAAATGGAAGAGTAGAAGGTTAAGAGAAGAGGAAATGAGGTTACAAAGCTAAAAAATAGGTCTTTGAAGCAATAAAAGCTTCAAATTGGTTGAAAATGGTGGTTGAATGAATTGATAGTGATGGCATTTTCGTGAATAAGTGAGGAAGATGAGGATTGTTTGGTAAAATAGATTTCTGAAATAATAATAAAAAAATAATAATATAATGGTATTTTCGTAAATAAATAGAACTGATAAGGATATAAGTGAGATAAAGTGATTAATTTCAAAGGTGGTAAAATAAGAGGTTAGTTTAGCAATTGACTTGAATTTATGGATCATTTTTGCAAGATTCACTTATTTTAATGTATAAACGAAATATAGTTAATTGTACTAAGAGACAGCTATTTCACAAGAACATGTATAGTCAAATCGCATCATGTATCATATGATATGATATTGACAAAAAAACAATCAAATAAAATAACTATATAAGAAAACCATGTTCGGTAGGACTTGTGCTAAAAACGAAAATGAGTATGACACTTGTGTAAATGTAGAGGAGAATGATTGATCTCGATTATTTGTTTGTTACCATAATTTTCGAAGTTCAAAACATAACAAGAATCACAAAGCAGAAATGCCTAAACATCAGCCAAAACGAACAAAAAACAGAACGAAGACCTCGATTTGATCTCTACTAATTTGGTTAAACAGTTTTTACTTTTAAAAAGAAAAAATTAAAATTGACTCTAAACAAAACAACTTAAAATTTAACAAAAAAATATTATTAAATATAAAACCTGAATGTAAACTGAGATGTACCAAGTCATTCGTTTTCGCATTGGTAACTATTATTAATACAGAATCGAAATACTAAAAAAAGAAAGAAAAAGAAATCCAAACCTAGCTAGTTTTTGTTTTTAAACGCCAAACTGACATTTCTTTATTTCCTTCCATCTTAACGGCGTTATTTTATTTTACTTTTTATGGTTTTAAACAAAATCAAGAAGAAAAGACAAGTTAGTTGACAAAAATATATAAACAAGAACAGAAGACAACAAAAAGGAAGCATTGATACGTGTAATAACAAAACCTTCGAATCGATCACATATGCTATCTGCTTATTTTAGTCAAAACAAACAAAGAAGTAATAAAGGAAAACCAATAGTATTGTAGATATATATAACTTAAATATGGAATTATAATATGATATATTTTTATATTAGTATACTTAAAGAAAATAACTCGATCGAAACAGACATGGCTCCATCTAAGTTCAGTAACGAATATTCCGTAGCTCAAGCCAACACATGCATATATCTTCTTTATGCGGAAATATTTAAGTCTTTATAACAAATGCTCAGAGTCAGCGGACTTCTTCTCTCTTCACATCGGAGAAAAAAAGAAAACCAAAAAGAAAATCATTAGAGTCTAAAAATTCATAAGAATCATAAGAGACTCAAAGAAAACCAAACAGAGTGTGAGAAAATGGGTCGAGGATCAGATCTGTGTTTGATTTTGGTTATGATCTTGAACAGCCTGATGATGTTCTGCAATGGAGGCATCACGAGTGAGTTTGTCCGGAAACTGGACAAAACCATTGACATGCCTCTTAATAGTGATGTGTTTCGTGTTCCTCCAGGATATAATGCACCTCAACAGGTATGTTGTTCATCTTTTCTTTTTAAATTTGATTTCATTTTTTTTCTAAAATGAACGATCTTTTCTGAGTTTTCTTGGGGGTTCTATTTATAATTATTAAATCAAGAAGGTTTTTTTTGTAATTGTTTCCATAATATGCATTCAGACATTTATGAGTTAAAAAAAAAATCAAAAAGTTTTTTTTTTGTTTTTTTTGTTATGTTGCTAGTTTTTCTCCAATTGTTAAGTATCACTTATTTTTTGTCTTTTTAATCTTTTCTTCTTTTGGGATGAATAAATGAACTTCATTAAATAATTTACAAAGGGTTTAAAACCAGAAGCATTCCTTGTCTTTTTAATCTTGTTCTTATTGGAAGTTAATATATAAATATGCGATTTTTTTTGTTGGTTAAGAAATTGATGTAATTGGGTTTTTGATTTGGGTTTCCACAAAAAGGTGCATCTAACACAAGGAGACGTAGAAGGAAAGGCAGTGATAGTTTCTTGGGTCACACAAGAATCAAAAGGATCTAACACAGTCCTTTACTGGAAAGAGAACAGCACCAAAAAGCTTAAAGCCCATGGCAAATCCAACACTTACAAGTTCTACAATTATACGTCTGGTCACATCCACCATTGCACCATCAGAAACTTGGAGGTCTATGTCATTTTTACATCATCATTGTCACAATCTTTTGTTATATATATTTGTTGTTATCTGATACAAGAACTTCTCTTCTTGCAGTATCACACCAAGTACTACTATGTGGTAGGCTTGGGACAAACCGAGCGCAAGTTCTGGTTCTACACTCCTCCTCAAATCGGTCCTGACGTTGCTTACACGTTCGGTCTCATTGGTAATTTTAACAACAAAACGCAATTATACTAGTTAGCTTAACATGGACTTGAACTTGAGTTTGCAAGAATTGTTGTTTTTGCAGGGGATCTTGGACAGAGTTTTGACTCTAACATAACCTTAACACATTATGAGAGAAACCCAATAAAAGGACAAACAGTTTTGTTTCTTGGGGATCTCTCGTACGCTGATACTTATCCAAATCACGACAATACGAGATGGGACACCTGGGGAAGATTTGTTGAAAGAAGCACAGCTTATCAGCCCTGGATCTGGACAACAGGAAACCACGAACTTGATTTTGCCCCAAAGATTGTAAAGTTTCTTGCTTCATCTTCTTTGTTTTGGCTTTTAGTCTTCAAAACGTTAGACCATCATTACATAGACTAGACTGAGATTTGTTTTTTTTTTATGCGCTTTGCAGGGAGAAACAAAGCCATTTAAGCCGTTCACACATAGGTACCGTACTCCATACCGAGCTTCAGGCAGCACCGAACCATTCTGGTACTCGATTAAGAGAGGACCTGCTCACATAATCGTGCTAGCTTCATATTCAGCGTATGGTAAATACACGCCGCAATACACGTGGCTCGAAGAGGAGTTCCCAAAGGTTAACAGGACGGAAACTCCATGGTTGATCGTTCTGATGCATTCACCGTGGTACAACAGCTACGATTACCATTACATGGAAGGCGAAACCATGAGGGTGATGTATGAGCCGTGGTTCGTCAAGAACAAAGTAGATGTTGTTTTTGCAGGCCACGTCCACGCATACGAAAGATCAGTAAGAGCAATCAAGAACTTCAGCTCATCATGTCTCTTTAAAGTTTAACTATAGTTCCTGAGAAATCTGATCCGTTGTGAAACCAGGAACGTGTATCAAACATAGCATACAACGTGGTCAATGGAGTTTGCAGTCCGGTCAAAGATCAGTCTGCTCCGGTTTACATCACCGTTGGTGATGGAGGCAATCTTGAGGGATTGGCTACTAAGTAAGCTATTAAATTCAAACACTTATGATCATTTGCAACCAGTTTCTTGATAAGATTCAGATGTTGAGTTTGAATATGTGTGATAATGGTTTCTGCAGAATGACTGAACCTCAGCCTGAGTACTCTGCCTTCAGAGAAGCTAGCTTCGGGCACGCGATATTCTCGATAAGGAACAGGACGCATGCGTACTATGGATGGCACAGGAACCAGGATGGTTACTCTGTGAAAGGTGACACCATGTGGTTCTATAACAGAATCTGGCATCCCACTGTTGATTCTACTTCTTCTGGTTCTTGACAAAACCTTAGAATCTTATTTGTATACATGTCTTTGATTGTGCCTGTATTTGTTTTAGATCAAACAAAAGGTGCAAAAGTTAATGAAAATGATTTACATGACATGTAAAACTAGGTCTAATATTTGTAACAGTTTCGATGTATCTCTTATGGTTTAGGTGATGGCAAGAGAGTGACTCAAATTCGATTATGTTCTTATACAATTAGACCTAACCAAACAAGAACGATGAAAAATGGCTGATGTTTAGTCATTAAGACTTCTTCAAGTAAGGCTTCTTATTGGAATTAAACTTAGGATTATCTACAAATATCTTTGCGCAACGAAGTTACTATTGTAAGTTCAAGAACACTGAAACAGCTGGAAAGTGTGTTACACACATATAATTTGAAGTCGGAAGAACCGTAACAAAATGATGCATGGGAATCAAGGAAGATGTAAAAATTACCATATTCGATGATTTGCGAATATAGTAGATACTCAAGACACGACAAGTCTGGCACGGCGTGGTGTTAGTATAAATAGAACTTCTTGGTCTTGATGTTAGGGTTAGCACTAGAGGGGATTAGAACACTCTGTCTTGGAAGAGAGTTTATGTGCTCTTGTAGCAAACACAGCTGTTGCTGTGTGGGTAGATTAGGAATTGGTCATTATCACATTACAAGTCGATTGAGATCATTATAAGGGTGTATTATTCTGATTAAACAAATTCGCAAAAATTGTTTAAGTGATTTCTAATAAAAGAGTACTTTGGTTACGAGTTCTCTCCCTATTCGAACTGCATCTTTACTTTCAAGTATCTTTAGTTTTACATTTGGTATGAGAGCGGGTCACCTTATAGATCAGCAGATCTATTTTACAGGTTGTGATCGTGGGATAACCATGGATACTATGAGAGAGCTCATCGCGGTTCAAAAACCTGTGATACTCGACGCTGAAAACTTTGGTCACTGGAAAGCTCGGATGCGTCATCTCATACGTGGGATAGATGAAGATGCTTTGATGGCTGTCGTGAATGGGTGGGAACCGCCAACAATCCTAGTGGAAGAAAAGTCAGAAAATAAGGAAATTCCGCCCAAAACAGTTGTGAAACCTAAACCAAGGGAGAGATGGACTGAAGCCGATAAAAACGCCTCAAAATACAACTCTAAGGCCATGCCAACTATATTTGGTGCTGTTGATATAGATCAGTTCAAGATCATACAAGCTTGTGAGCCAGCAAAAGAGTCTTGGGATACGCTGATCAATCACTTTGAAGAAGATACGAGTGTTAGAAGAACTCGGATAGACCATCTTGCCTCTCAATTCGAAAATCTGAGGATGGCCAAAGATGAGTCGATTGCTAGCTTTACTGCCAAAATCAGCACAATTGCTAATGAAGCATCTGTATTGGGGAAGAAATACAAAGAGAAAAAGCTGGTTAAGAAACTACTTAGGTGTCTACCTCCAAAGTAGCTGTTCACAAAGCTGTACTGAAGTACTCCATGGATACATATGATATGAAGTTTGATAAGCTATGTGGAATGCTCAAAGCTGAGGAAACGGAAGCAGCTGCTGAGGAACCTGAACGCCAGAAGGGAATAGCCTTCACCGCAGAAAAGGATGACGACAGAGTCAAACATATCGAAGAAAATCTCAGTCTCATGGCCCGAAACTTCAACAAGATGCTCAAACGAGTTGAGAAAGGACAGAACAAAGTTTTCAGAAGAGGCTGAAGGAGTGATTCAGAAAAGGGATACAGGTATGAAGGTGACAGAACAAACAGGAAGAAGGATCTTCAGTGTCACGAATGTGAAGGCTTTGGTCACTTTCGGAACGAGTGTCCCCTGGTCAAGAGGAAAGAACTCAAGTGTTCGAAGTGCAAAGGTTTTGGTCACACAAAGATAGAGTGTCCAAGTGGATCGAGGAACAAGGATAAATCTCTGGTGGTATTCAGTGACAGTGAATCAGATGAAGACAGTGACAATCCAAGTCAAGAACTCATGCTTAACTTTGTTGCCTTCACATCCTTAGAAGATGACAGTATCTCAAAAACCAAGAAGTCAGAGGATAGTGAGTATGATGAGGACGATGAAGCCTTTGACATTACTCAAGAATATAACGATCTATACAACAAGAATGTAGTGTTGAGTAATGAGAATCTGCAACTCATCAAGGAAGTTGCTGTGATGCAAGCACAACTCAACATTCTTGAGTGTGAAAGAGTCGAAGATCCAAGTGACAAAGGGAAGGAGTCTACAACAGATAACTCAGAGGGTGAGAATTTCAAGAAAGATCTGGAAAGAGAAAAAGAAAGAAACAGAGTGTTGGAAGTCAACATCAAACGCATTATGCTTGCTTGCGCAGAAGAGGAAGAGAAGGCAAAAGGATTGCCGCAAGAGCTGAACGATAATCACAAAAATATCAGGATGTTGAACACAGGCACAAAAGATCTGGACAAAATATTATCAGTTCGTCAACCACCGAGAGCAAACTGGGGTCTTGGTTTCAATGGGAGACCTGCTCAACCACAAACATCTCTTCAACATCAACTGAATTTTGTGAAAGGGTCTCCCTCCCAACGGGAAGTCAATGAAGTAACTCTGCTAAAAGAAATAAGAGCATCCCAAGCAGTTAAGTCTGTCACTCATCTGACCTACCAGCCAAAAAGACTCGAAGCAACACGAAGTGTTATTTCTGCCATCGAAGGGGACACCGGAAGGTTGACTGTGTGAAACTCAGTCTCAGAAAAAGAGTTATCAAGGCATGGAAGAGGGGTCAATGCTTTCCTGAACCATCTCGTCTTGGAAAAGTTTGGATTGTTAAGGAGATGGTGTGTGAGGAAAAAGCAGATACTTACAATCAGATTGATAGCCTTGTCTTCTGCAATTTCACCCAGATAACCCAATGCACCACCGGGCGTGTGTGTGACACAGAACAGACTCTTATGGGCAACATTGCATATATGACCACTGACGCACAAGACCAAACTCTATGGTACTTTGATAGTGGCTGCTCAAGACATATGACTGGATGTCAGAACGTCCTTGATACATACACATCTCTTAGAGGCAGAAAAGTTACCTTTGGAGATGGAGGTCAAGGTAAGATCAAAGGTGTTGGTAACATCAATACTGTGGACAAGCCTTAGTTGGTCAATGTGTACTTTGTTGAAGGTCTCATGGCAAACCTGATCAGTATTAGCCAGTTATGCGATGAAGGACTCAAAGTTGTGTTCACCAAGGTAGGCTGTCATGCCATTGACGACAAAGGAGACGTTGTCCTGTATGGAATCAGGTCTGGTAACAATTGCTATATGTGGAGCAAATCGAATTAGTGTCTGTCAGCCAAGTAGTCTCAACTTGATCTGTGGCACCGAAGGCTTGGACACATGAATGTACATGGACTAAGTAAAATCGTCAAGAAAGAGATTGTAAGAGGGATACCTAAGTTGGAATCACCTTCAGACACCGTGTGTGAAGCATGCAGTAAAGGAAAACAGATTAAAGTGCAACACAATGCACTTGGTAAGATCCGAACCAAAAAGGTCCTTGAGTTGATTCATATGGATATGATGGGGCCAATTCAAACTGAAAGCATTGCTGGAAAAAAATATATTTTTGTGCTGGTTGATGATTTCTCACGATTCACATGGGTGAGGTTCTTGAGAGAAAAATCAGAAGCAGCTGAGAGCTTTAAAATCTTGGCACTGCAACTCAAAACTGAAAAAGATGACATCATCCAGATAAGTAGTGACCATGGGGGTGAATTCCAGAGTGCTGCTTTTGATTTGTTCTGCAATAGTCAAGGAATAAGGCACCAATATTCAGCTCCAAGAACCCCACAACAGAATGGTGTAGTGGAGAGGAAAAACAGGACTTTGCAACAAATGGCCAAAGCCATGCTTCATGGGATTAAAGTGGCAACAAAGTTGTGGGCAGAAGCAATCAATACAGCGTGCTACATCATAAATAGAGTTTATGTTAAGCCTGGCACAAATTTGACCTCATACGAGATTTGGAAGGGGAAGACTCCGAATTTAAGCTACTTTCACATCTTTGGATGTGTATGCTACATTCTGAATGAGAAAGCTCAGCTTGGAAAGTTTGATTCTCGAAGCGATATTGGTATATTTCTTGGATATTCAACTCATAGTACGGCATTCCGAGTGTTCAACCATCGAACCAAAATGATTCATGAGTCTGTGAACGTTGTGTTTGATGACAAGAGTTGCTACGAGCTAGAAGAAAGGATCTCGGATGTGTCTGACACAGCTCCTGAGGCTGTTACTGAAATGATACACACTGAGTCAGACAGTCGGGGACATGCTGAAGTTCATAATGAAAACCACACTTCTTTGCACTCGAAACAGGTGCTAGTTCCCAAAAATCATACTTTGGATCATATAATTAGTGGAGTACTTGACGAGAGACAGACCAGAGGGAAGAAGATTGACTTCAAGCAGATGGTTAAACTAGCCTGCTTCCTGACAGAAATGGTTAACTGTTTTATCTCGTTCATCGAACCAAAGAACATCATGGAAGCACTTAGTTATGAGTTATGGGTGTCGGCTATGCATGAGGAACTAGAACAGTTTTGGCGGCTTGATGTTTGGGAGCTTGTACCGGTCCCAAAAGATGTTAATATAGTTGGCACTAAGTGGATATACAAGAACAAGGTTGATGATGAAGGAAATGTGATTAGAAACAAAGCGAGACTTGTTGCTCAAGGTTACTCCCAGATTGAAGGCATAAATTTTGATGAAACATTTGCTCCAGTTGCCAGACTTGAATCTATTAGGCTACTCTTTGGGATCACATGCCTTATCAGTATCAGACTGTATCAAATGGATGTCAAGAGCACGTTTCTTAATGGGCTACTTCACAAGGAAGTCTATGTCGCTCAACCCAAAGGCTTTGAAGACCCTAAGTTTCTAGACCATGTTTACAAACTGAAACGAGCCCTGTATGGTCTCAAGCAAGCGCCCAAAGCTTGGTATGAAAGGTTGACACAGTTTCTTTTAGGCGCTAAATTCACTCGAGGGAGTGTAGACAAGACTCTGTTTATCCAACATGTAGACAATGACATCCTTATTGTTCACGTCTATGTTGATGATATCATTTTTAGGAGCATGAGTGAGAAACTTGTCAAGGGTTTTGTATCAACCATGACAAAGGAGTTTGAGATGAGCATGGTTGGTG